GGGAGAGCATTAATTTTATGGCTCTCAAAAGCATATATTAAAATATTTATTTCTATAAACATGAAAATGGAGGATTATGATATCATATAGTTTGGCCATTTGATAAAGTGCCCCACATAGTCAACTTTTTTTTAATCAAAATTTGGGTATTTGATGAACATAATAAAGTTGTTTGTCTTCCCATCTCTGGAAAGAAAAAAGATTGAGTAAAAATTTAGGAATCAGCCATCTAACGTGTCATATTCTTATTAGTTTTGAACACAACTTTTTTTTAACTTTTTTTGGAAAAAAAAATTCAATTTTTACCTTTGTACTTAGCCTAGCCACTTGAATTTACCCTTAAATCTTCAATTTGATGTTAAATTGAATTTTAAACTGGAATAAGTAACCGATTGATAAATCGGACACAAAATTCAACCAACAAAATATAACTAAAATTGAACTATAGAAATGTCCAAACAACTAGATAAATATATGAAACCAAGTCACTAAGAGCTTGTTTTTTGTAACGTTTCCGTTTCTTGTTTCTATTTTTTATTTTTAATAAAGAAAAATAGAATTATACGGTCACAGCACCCATGAATTCAAGGATGGTCAAACAATATTTATGTTTATGTTTTGTAACAAAATTGGAAATAGAAACAAGAAACAAGAAACAATAAATTTGTTTTGATTATTTTCAAAATTTCTATACAATTTTGAGAATGTTTAAAAATAATAATAATAATAATAATAATAATAAGGAACAAGAAATATAATAATTAGTTGCAAAATGCTTAGATTTCTTAATAAAATTAAAAACAAGAAACAAAGCATGAATGTTACCAAACGGGTCCTAAGACTCCCATTTTATTTCGTGATTTTGTATCTCTTTAAAATTTATGCTTGATTTCTTAGTAGTTATTTCTTTGCAAGGTTGTCACCTCCCTTACAAACATAATAAAAACAAGTTTTTAAAACTATTTTTTGGCTTAAATTTTGAAAATATTTTTAATGAGTGGATTACAAAACAAAGATATGGAAGATAGTTTTTCTAAATTTAACTTTTAATACAGAAAACCAAAAAAGAAATAGTTAACAAATAAAGCGTTCGGTCCAAATCCAACTCAAAAATGATCATGAAAAAACTAGAAATTTACACTTAAATTTTACATAGAAGTAACTTACATGATTAAAAATGAACTCTTTCGCAACTATCTATAGTATTGATCAATAATAATTGTCACCTAAAAATAATTGAATGGATAAGACATCTATTATTATTCTATAAGTCAACTGTTCGGCACCCACCATGGTTGAACTCAATGAGCAAAAGAAAAAAGGTAAACAAACTAATCCGAGAAGGATTTTTTTTTTTTTTTTTTTTGGAAAAACCAAGAAGGGAAATTTTAACTTATCTTCTTACAATTAGTAGCATGGATTAGTGCATAAAAATAGGATTACTTTTTTTTTTCTTTTTTTTTTTTCATTTTTGTGGGTCAAGAGCTATCCTCAAGCTCATTTGAGAGCTTTGAAACTAAATAGCATTTAATGTGGACAATATGCCTAAGTCGGTAGATTTATAACCTTCTTTTCCTTCTCAAGTGGCCAAATCCAAAAGTATATATTATATCCAATTTTCTCTTTCCTTTTCAAAGTGCTTCTCTCTCTCTCCACTGCCTTCCTTTCACATTATCCCTAAGTTTCCTTTTCCTTTTCCTTTTTAAAAGGAAGGGAGGCAAATAATAATAATAATAATAATAATAATAATAATAAATAAATAAATTCATTTTTAGTCCAAAACATTAAACATTGTTGTGAAAAAAAGGCAAGTGCTTTTTTCAAAAGAGGATATATATGTTCTCTCTCGTTTCTCCGAGCAAAAACACATAAGAAGATTTTCATATCACCAAAACGAACATAGTTTAGTGGTAATTGGCATCTTCCTTCAACTAAGATATGTTATGAGTTCGAAATCCCCTCCCCACATATTGTACTAAAAAAAATTTATATATGAGAAATAATGAATAGAGAGAATTTTCATATATATATTTTTAAATCTACCATTAAACAAGATTTTCTTTTTGAAAGTAACATGTGGGGTGGATGATCGAACTCACAATCTATTGGTTGGAGATATATATCAATTGCCGCTGAGTTATGCTCGCTTTTTGTCCATTAAACAGTATTATTATTGCATTGTATGCTTTTAAGTTTAATTAGCGGATTATCTTCTTAATTTTGGTGTATTATATATTCAAAAGTAGAACATGATTGACATAATAGAAAGAGAAATTATTATGACGATACTTTTAATTATTCCACATTTAAGTGCCTAATTAGTTGTTAAATAAAAGTTGACAAAGATCCCTCTTGTAGATTTTTTCACTAGCTAAAGTTAATAATCTTACATGTAAAGCTAAACAAAGCATTCAAACATGACTTGACAAAGAGAACAAATCATACTTTTCTCCAACTAAATCTTTAAATCGATTTCATCATCCTCTCATTATGTCTTCTAACTAATTAACTACGATCGAGAAAAGAAAACCGTACAAAATAATAGTCATATTCAAAAAATTAATTACCACGTCTTGTCTTATTTTCTTCATCATTGATGTAAAAGTTGACAATATAATACGATGATATATCTCAAGTTTACATGACCAAATAGTTCAAGTCACACTATACCCTTGGATTTTTACCTCATATATGCATGCTTATTGCAATGTATGCATGATTGGAAAGATACTCCAAAAAAAAAAAAGTTAGGGTTTTTGAAGGTGTTCAAGATATGTCATTTTCTTGTTCTTGATAAACATTTGATAATGGGTTGGTAGGCGTGAAATCAGCACCCAAAAGTGATTGATCTGATCGATCCACTGATTTTGATGGTTCTCTTCTCATCCATTGCAAAATTTTGTTTCAATAATGTATATTTTCTCAACTTTGAGATATTGGGTCGGTTTAGTTTTGAAGTTCAAATTAGAATTTTGGATTATACTTCTATTTCTAATAGAACGAGATGTGGAATAATGTGTTGTTTGGGTACAACATCAATCTAATCTAGCTATCTGCCACATCATTCCAACGTAACAAAAACTAATCTATAATAAGAAATTATTGTCACGTTAGTGTTTGCTAACGAATATGAACAAACATGGACCGAATAGAAGCATAATTCAAAATAATGTAATTTGAACCTTTTAACCATTTAAGAAATGTGAATGTGAAAGTTGAATAACTAAGGCCTCGATTATTTTACAATTTCTTTGGTATGTTTTTCACATTTGTTCGCTAACACTTTTTGTTTAATTTTAGTGTCTTCTCCCCTCTTGGCTACTTCTCTTTTCTTTTTATGATTTGTGACCAATTAAATTAGTGTGAATTTCATCATTTCTAGTTTCTTTTATATATATTAGATTATACTTGATCTGGATATGCATTCTAATTCATGATTCAGTTCTCAGCATATGGTCTTTTCGTAGTCTAAAGAGATCAGTTGAGATAAAGTAGAAGCTAAAGAAGGGGTAGCATTTTTAGCCTAGCTCCTACTTTTTGTGGATGTGACCAAATTAAATATTTTCATGGGAGGGGACTTCATCACTTTACCCATCATTTATTTGGGCTCAAATATATGGACATTTTACCGCCTTCCATTGTTAAGGGTCTCACGTTGAAACAATAAGTGATCTAACAAGGGTTTATGATATGAGTAGGTTATTCTTCTCGTTGCAATTTTGAGATGTAACCCCATAAATATTAATACACATAGCACCTGTGTTTGTTTTCTTATAAGTATGTCATACCCATCTTGTTTGATAGATTTTCCTAGTCGGGTAGATATCAAAAAAGACAAAAAAAAGGGCAAAAAAACCCTTCTTTCCAAAGTTCACATAATTCTTAGTATTGTAGACTTCCAAAGTCTACAAAAATGAGAAGCTGCCCATTTTGAATATATGCACTTGGGATTTCCATAGATGATTTCCAAAATCTTGTGTTTCTCAAAGAAAAAAGTTGTCATTATCATGTCTATCCAAAATGGAGAGGGAGGGGATCAAGTAAAGGAAAAGAATGGATAGAGTAAGCCATCACTTTAGAGTACAATAACAAATACAAATAGAGAATCACACAAATGGATAAAACCAGTAGCTGATAAAGTTAAAAAAGGAAGATAAAAACTGATGTCAGCTGCTATATCTGATTTCCACTACATGTGAATACTAGGTTATCAGTCAGAAACATACTAATTAAGTAAGTGGGAGCTTCATCATAAACACTCACAATAACTTATGATTTGGTCACATTTATCCTTAATATGTCAGCATAACAACCTTTGGAGGGAGGGAAAAGACAATCCCTTTCAAACTTGTACACTAGATTTCATGCTCTCTCTCCAATACCATTGAATGGATGGATGAGGCAATCAACTTTCAACTACACTATTGGATCTCGAGAAGATATGATTACTCAGATATTTTAACGAAGACACTGAAGAAGAACATGAATAGTCTCGTTTGATTATCATTTTGTACGGTTTTATTGATGGGAGTAATGAGAAATACAACTAAAGAAGACTAGCATCCAAAAGAATTTGATATTGATATGTTAAAAAGAAAAAAAAAGAAGAACAACATAGTAGTTCCTTCCAGGCTGTTCCAACATGAAGTGACACAAACATCATTCCAGCATGACAGTAGTCAGATGTCAAACTTTGTAAGAAAAGTTCAGATGAGCAGAAAGTAAACGACAGAGCCACAAAATTCAAAGTTCTTATCAAAAAGAAGAGATTGGCTGTTTGTCACTTTCTATTTCACTGACATCATCTATCAATTATGAACTGAATGACCCACTTACCAGTCTTCTTCTTGAGAGGAGCAGAGAATGAAAAGCCTGTAAGGGTTACAGAGGTTCAAGATGGAACGATATTTTGTCCTGGTGTCTGTTAGGATGGAAGAAAGAACAACATGATCACAAGTCTGGGAAAAACATGACAGAATTGTGAGAAAAAACCCCAAAAAGAGAATGAACAAAACAGCTTTATTTAAATAAATTAATTAAAATACCATAGGCTCACAGTCACAGCCCAGAAACAGTGCTGACTGCTGATATTTGCAAAATTTCTTGCAACTCGTTTATTTTGGAATTTGTTATGCACTCATAGTAGATAAAGTTATGAATCTTAACCCCGAGTATTTATTTACAGAGTAGATTCCTCTTCATCTCCATCATATTGACCATTCTGATGAATCTTAAACTGAATTAGCTGTTTTATTTACAGGAGCTCCCAATCAGAGTCAGATCCATAACTAGTTGATGAATTCTTCCTGTCCAGCTTCTGTGAATTGTCTGTAGTGAGTTCCAGATCAATATCTCCATACCAGATTGCTAGCTGTTCATACTCCTTCGCCAACCTCTTTTTGGAAGTAAAAGCATCTTGGATTCTCTTCTATTTTTCAGAAAGTAAAGAAGAACAATAAAAGGTAGAATATTTAGCTCCCTTGATATTGAAGGACACAGAAATATTGGTATTTTCATTTTAGTAGTAAACTCTTTGGTTCTGTTTTTCTTTAGATTATTATATATGAAATGATAAATCAGTTAATTGAGAGAGAGAGACCTTATAAGAACGGAGCTTTTGGGTTCTGCGAGAGACAGCATGGAGATCTCTACAGTCCACAATGTTGCACCCGTCTTTCAGGGTCACCTCATGGTCCAAATCCACTGTTTCCATTTCAGCATCCGGAATATAGCCACTGGAATTGTATGGACAACCTGAGAAATGTTTTAAAATTATTGTTGAATTCTTAATGGGAAGGGTAAAAAATCAAAGCTTTTCTCCGTCATCTCTTTTGTCACTTGTGAGGTTTTATGGAAGAAAAAATGAATCATTTCCAATAGTAAACAGCTAATCTATTTTAGCTTAAACAGATGAGTAACATTTCCATCAACAATGAAAATAGCCAACAGATGGATAACAGCAGGGAATTGAAAGAATAGTATCATAACAAATTTTTGGGACACACCTATTTCAGTAGAGAAATTTAGAGCCTCAGAACTAGTAGATTTGGAAAACTCAACATCGCCATTGGTGCAGAATTTGGGAAGAAATGCACTTCCATTGACTCTTGAAGCATGATCCTCTGTTGAAACATGAGTTGTTTAAGAAAATCAGAAGAAAGCACAAAAACTTATCCTAGGATAGAAGATAAGAGTACAAACCATGTGATTGCATTGATAATGAGGAGCTTCTGGAGGAGGCAAGTTTCGTCTCCAAAGTCTTGTTTTCATAATATGCACGAGTGACCACTTCAAAAGTTGGATGAGTTTCACGATCGGCTGGTTTTCCGATACTAGAGAAGTTTTTAACTGAACTTCTGGAAGCAGAAAGAGAATCTTCTGGTTGGGATTTCAAAGCGGAGACTGACCTTGTCTCTTCTACAATTTTCCCACAAGTTAAACCTAGTGAACCCAGTTCGGAAGAAGTAGCATCTGGAGCATTAGAAGAATAACCAGTTCCAGTTTCAAAGTAATTAGAAGTTGTCACCATCTTTGGTGGGAAGTTAACTGAATTGCTCACTGAGATGCTAGAATCTTGCCCTACTTTACGGGTGGATTCAACATCTGCACCATTAATTGAAGTTTTCAGTGGATCCGCAGTTGAGGTCACAATATCCTCTTGACGCTCATTATCACAATTGCACAAAGTTCCCCTAATTGAATCTTCGTTACACTGGGAAATTAAGTCAGTTGATAATTTCAAATTGGCTTGTGCTTTACAACTTGCATCCGATTCTTTTTCTAATAAACCTTCAGTATTCTTCCACCAAGACAAAGAGCTCGCCAAATTCGGAAAAGAATCATTCGAAACTGAAGTAACCTCTTCATTTTTGTAGTTTATGCTGCTTAGTGTACATCCTGGCTGGTTCTTTAAAGGATAACTTGCATCATGCTCCAACTCGAGGATGGTATCCTTTTTTAAAATTTCATTCGAGTGTTTATCTGTCAAGGCATCATCATTCTTCCCAGGAAGTAGCTCAGATTCCAACTGCAGATGATTACTATCAGAAACCAGAATGGCTTCTTCATTGGTGAAGTTAACTCCACTACAAGCATGCAGATTTAACAAATCACTGTTAAAATCGTCCTTGAAGATGGCATCCTTTATAGGACTCTTAACAAAGTCTTTATCCGTCAAGGCACAATTGATTTTTCCAGAAAGTACCTCAGATTTAGAATCATCGGAGACCACAGTAGCTTTTTTACTTGTGAAGTTTGTCCCATTCCATACATGGCTAAGATGGTTGTTGTCCAAACGATCGCTAGCATCAGGCTCCATGATAACAACATTCTTTGAACACTTGTCTGAGTCATCTGACAAATCTTCAACTGATGATTCTTCATTTGAGGAGTCTTCATCCAACGAGTCTTCATCTGACAACTTTTCACCATTCTTCCTTGAGAGTATGGAAGATTCCAATGATAGATGAGAATCATCCAAAATTGAAATTGTGTTTTCATTTGTAACTTTAACTTGACAAGATGCAAGATTAGGCACATGAATCAAAGGATCACTAGCATCTTCAGAACTCTTGTTTGCATCTTTATCTATCACAGTCACATAATTATTCCCTAAAATTGAGTCGTCCTCCAATTGCAGACCAGAGTCCTCAGAAATCGAAGAATCTCTTTTGTTGGTTTGATTAATTTCACTACTTACACTTCTCAGTGGGTTGCTCAAAGGATCATCGGCTCCTGGGTCCGAGAAGGCATGCTTATCTGTTAATGTGCCATCACTTCTCTCTGAAAGTAGTAGTTCATTGATGGTATTTTCTTTCATATTTTCATCCAAGTCTATATCTAACAAGACATCATCATTCTTTCCCAATGGTAAATCAGCTTTCAGCTCTAGAAGAGAATGACTAGGAACTTGGGCAACTTCTTCATTTACAAAGGTAACTTTACAAGATCCTGGACTCCACTTATCTATCTTATCAGTAGTACCATGTCCCACAGATGATTTACTAGCAGCACTATTTGCAGTTTTTCCTTCATTGTGTGACAGTGACTTGAAATATGCATTAATCGGAACATGTCCCCTCTGAGCCATTGTTTGAGCTTCATGATTCACAGGATCCGCTATAGGGGGAAGTAAACCTTGAACAACATCAGAGTAGAATTTCTTCACATTTTCACTTGCTGAACTAACGTGGTTTTCAACATATTTAACCGTATCCTGTGCATAGTATTAGTTTAATAGTTAGCCACCACATTAATCTTTTGTCAAAATGTTGGATCACTGAATGCAAAGAAGAAAAGAAATTGGGGAAACCTGGTGCATAATACTATCCACTTCCTGGCACACTGCTTCAAACTTCTGGTACATGTTTCCAACCCACGTTATACCTTTATGTTTCAAATCCATTTTTATTCACCTGCAAGATTCAAAATCCTAAAAACCGAAGAAAACAGTTTTACAGAACTTCCAGCTAAAGGATAACTGGTAGAAAGGGCCACAGAAAATTCTACTATCATGCAGTCCAAATTTCCTTGACTGCAAAACCAGGCTGGATTGAACAAGAAAACTACTAGTAAACATATAACAGAAGCTGAAAATATATCTTAACGCTTTACGCAACAAAATGAACTGCAACCCTGTAAAGATCACAATGCTTCAGCCACATCAAGTTCCTCTGTTCTTGGCCAACTAGACCACTAATCGAGAGAACGACCAGTAGGGTCAGTGTACAAAATTCAAACTAACAATAAAATTGTAACAATCACCATCAACAATAGCAGGCCATTTTCCGTGCTATACCAGTAAAATTGTTACTTCAAAAGAATTTTATGTCTTGGGAGGAGGATCAGCCTTAGCTATCTTCAATCGATATTCACTCAGACCCATTGGCTGCTTCTTCTTCTTTACTCACCGGACCACACCAAGAACAAGAAGCATTCAACTAAAAAGTTTAATGATAAAAGAACAGCACCAAATTTCTCCCCAATTCTGGGAATATTTTGTTAACCTTCATGGTTACACCCACAAAACGTTAACTTCCAAGCCTTCTTAATTTCTATAACGTTCTTAGACTCACTCAAACGTAGTAAACAAGATTTTAAAAAGAAAACCCCATCAAACCCAGTGTCCTTTAAACGATCATACTTCCGAACACCAAAAAGATAAACACTGGTGCCACGTGGAAATCAAAATTTCCATTTTGATCAGCACAATCACATTATTTTCCAAAATTCAATAACCAGAACCATTTGATCGAATTCTCAGAAACCATAAAAACTAAAAGGATAAAAATATTCAATATCCATACAGCATTCAACATCGAAAGGGCAAGCAGAAGAAGAACAAGTAAATAATACGGGAAGCAACCTGAGAAGAGCAGATGAGGCGTGGATCAGTGGGTTGGATAGCTGCTCTTCTTCATCAGCAGCGGCACAGGAACAGGGGTTTTAGCCTTCTTTTAAAGCCAGAGAGAATATCTGAAGAGAGGTTTAATCTAAACTTTTAAATTCCTAAATTATAATTTCCTCAAACTAAATTCAAACTTTGTTTTTTTAATTCTAATCTTCCCTATTTAGATTTGTTGGGTTTTAAATTACTATGTATCTAATTCTATATATATAAAAATTGTATCAATACCTAAAAAAAATTTAGTTATGCTTCTACACCTTTTATTCTATATTAATAAATTTGATATTTTTTTTAGTACAACATATTGAGAAAGGATTCGAACTCACAACATATATATATATATATTAATTACTGCTAAATTTGATATTAATTCGTTTAAAATTGAAGGTTGAATGTGAAAAGTATGTCAGATAAATTTGACCTGAATTTTCTATGCTAAATCGACCCATGGGCTAAAAAATTAGTCCACTTAGACATATTTCAATTGCACCCTCCAAAAAAAATGATCTACAAGTTGAGTGAGGTTAAATGCTATGATCAATGAAGTTTATACCCTCTTTATTTTTATTGTTCTTCCTCACCATAACAGGTTGATGATGGAAGAATGGAAGAAAAATAAATGATTTTGGTTTTTTCTTCTTTTTTTTTTTAAATAGTTCTAATCGTTGTTAAATGTTTGTCGAAAATTAAAGAAGGAAACATAATAAACACAATAACGAATATCAATATTGTATTAGTAAAAGATTTGTTTTTATACAAATTTTAATATTCATTTTTTCGATTTTTTTAGATCTTCCACTTTCTAATCTTATTTTGGTCCAAATTATTTCTTTTTCTCTCTCTATTTTTCAATATCTATTTATTTAAAAAACACAGTTAAAACTTTTAAAATTTAAAGAGTAAATAAACACAGATGAATATCAAATATGTAATTCCAACTACAAATTATCTATTAGAATAACCTTTAAATTTATTTTTGAAAAAACATAATATTATGTTATTTACTTTAATATTTTCATTTAGAATTTTGTACAATAATTAATGTATTTTAAATAGCACCTAATTCGAACCAAAAATAACTATCAAAACTATTATGAATTCCTAAACCGCATAAAAGATAAGTTTTCAATTTCTAGTATGAGACTNGTTCAACTTCGAACCCGGTTGAACCATTTTCTGGGCCTAAAAGGAATAATTAATAATTAAAAAGATCAAATCACTATTTCATACAAAGACTAATGACAATAATTTTTTTATTTTACATAGTTAAGCATCCATAAGTCTGGACAACAAAGACAACGATATAAGATAACGCTGCCTATTTTTGAAACAATCCCAAATCAGTATAAATTGGATTATATAGATGGATATATTACAAAATCGCCAATAAAAAGAGACGTTACGACCATAAATGACGATAACAAATACAGAATATGAGAGGCTGAGAAGAACATAACATGCTATTTAGATATGAAAATGAGAGCTACATTACTATACACCTCTCATTTTCAAGTTAACCTAATACACAAGGCAACATTTCACCAGTTTAATTAAACCATACGATAAAATTTTCATTTGCTATTATTTTGCTTCTTCACATGATACTTGGTAGATACATTTCATCTTAATTACCATTTATTTAAATAAAATGTCCAGATCTTCAGTGTTATATTGCTCCACCAAGAATCATTTTTTTTTCAAAGGGAGGAGAGTCCCATCTTGATAACATAACAAAATCTTGCAAAATACATCAGAATATCAATAGATTTGAGCTAAAAATTGGCTGACATTAGTGAGAATGTACAAAATGTGTCGCAGAAAGAACCGAGGCTTGGTCAGCTCACCAATTGGATTGCAGATTGTTCACCCTTTTGTGAAAATCAAATATTGATATCATTTGCTTTCCCAAGGAGGTTCACCATGAAGGCTAGCAACTGCTCGAGCTCCATCATCATCTCATAGAACAGCCACACAGTCACAGGGAGCCGAAGCAATTCAAAATCACATAGAAACGAACCAAAGTAGAAAGGCAAATTAGCCACTGCTAACTGAACTTTGTTACAGATAGATGTTACTTTCACTGGGAAAGAATTTGGGATAAAATTGAACTTTACACCAGGAGGGTATTAACTATCTTGGCCTATCTTGGCCCAGACAATCGTTTAAAAGATTTCAAAAACGTACTGTACGCAGAAATGAGAAGATACCAACACTTAACAACAGGCATTACAAATCTAAAAGTAAATAATCAATATGTGGAATTACCATACAAAGCATCATCATAGAGAAGAAATGTCAATTGTCAACCCAAATGTTTGACAAAGGCCAATAAGCCAAACACATCCTATTTCTTCACCAATTAAATAGAATTGTACAACTAAATTGGTGCAATGTACAATTCTCCTAGTAGAATTGAGTGGGCAACACTCCATATCAAAACCCAAAGCGAAGTTCCTTCAAACATGTAGCCACCAGATGTAGTCATTACCCAACTGGTGCAATGTACAATTCTTCTAGTAGCATTGTTAGAAGATCTTACTTGACCAGATGCATAAAGGGTGGAACGTACTAACAGTAGAAAACCATAACTTCGCCCTTATGAGCTTCGCGCTCACAAATGGAAGTCCATGAGCCACAGAAGCTCTAGCCATTTTGTCAAAAGGGCTTAACTCAATATATTTAAGTGAACTCTTTTAATATCAAGAAGTAACCGAGGGTCAAAATTCAAAGGAAAACAAATAGCAAAGCTCCTACCACATCTCAGGTCACAAATTCTCGTAAAAGAACCGTAACAAGGATCTACACAAAGCACCAAAGCAAAAACAGTTTCGTGCATATTGCATTTTACACATCTGACAAACCATAAGTATCCCACACCAGCTTTCTCGACTCAATTACAAAACAAAAACCTTCCTTTTCTCTGCAATCCATGTGCAATAAAAACTCTCGACATTTTGTCCAGCTAGATAACTCCAGTAAAGCAAAAACAAATTCACAATGAACAACTAGCTTGATCACTTTAATAATCCCCAGAATCCAAGGGAAACCGTGCAACTTCATAAAGCAACTGTTGCAAACAAGATCACAAGTAAAATGGTCCTCTATGCTGCATTCAATCTCATCAAACGGCCCAAAGATACATATTTAACTCACGGAACACTACACATACAAAATCAACTGTTTGATTCACAAGTGTTCGATCACCAACAGGTGCATCCAAGACCAAATAATAAGTTGCGTGCAGCACAAAAACTCGAGAAATAGCAAGAATGGTTACTGCCAAAATATCCTTCCAATCACAAGTTCAAGTATGATGTCAAAGAAACATGAAATACTAATTCAACCACTGGAAGTGCACAAGGCAAACCTCCATCCAACATCCAGCAGACATACAAAATCATAAGATCATAAAGCACTCCCCAACTCTTAAATTTTGTAGAGAGATTTTAAGTAGATAGACCACAGCAAATGGCTATCCATATAAAACTTGGGGACCTAGTCCTCAACAAGAAAAATGGGGAAAAACAGAAATCAGTGATCATTTATTAGACTATTTTGGAGGGGAAAGACCAAAAGCATATTAATTGTTGTTAAGTACAAAAACACCACTGCATGATTTCTTTCTATAAGTACTTATAAATACATCTATAAAAGAGGTCATAAAAGCACATCCAATACATTCACCAAACCAGAGTGATAGTCGGCATTCTACGCAATCAGGTGAAGCGCATAAAGCATCTGCATCCAACAAGATAAACCAAATCAAATACCCAGGTTGAACTCAATTCACCAAATCACCTCATCATGCAAAGGGGAACCTATCCTAATGCAGGATCAAATTAATAACATCAACAGCAAGAAAACAAAACAAAATGACATACCATCTGAAAACATAACACGTTAAAAGTACAAATATAAACTTTTTCATAGCTATCAAAAGTTGCAAATCAAACATAAAATTCAAGACACCAATCAATTTCAATCACGTCCATTGACCATAGACTATTTATTATCAATTTAAGAAAGAATATACCGCATGAAGTAAAAACTTCGAAAGAAAAACAAGACTTTTTTTGAGTTTCGCTTTATGCCATGAGGAGTAAACCCTGCCAAGAAGAATACTATAGTATTACACAAATGCAAATAGGATAGCCCAAATGCAAGTCCTCCCCCATATTCAATCTCAAAGACAGTGAAAGCCATCGACCAAAAAAGGGCAGGAAGGAGACAGGAAAAGGAAAACTAATGGGAAGAAGAGAGAAGAAAGAAAGGATGCCGTAGACAGCAATGGACCAAAGGGGGCAAAGAGTATGAGGACTGAATGGAATTTGGCAGATGAAACTGAGAACACTAGTGATATTCAATGTTGCAACTAAAGAGATGATTTTCTAAAGGAGAAGAAATTAATATTTCATCCATCAACAAGGTGGGTGAAAAATCAGTATTTTCTAAAAATGCCACTCACCACGGTTATTATAACCAATTAAACCACCTATATTCTTTGATGACCTGAAGCTTGAACTTTAGAGATTGAAATCTTTTCCAACTCCAAAGAATCACAATATATAGACTAAAAATTAATTAAGAACTTAGAATAAATAAGTTTTTTTTATAAGAAACAATTTCATTGATGGATGAAATTACAAAGAGAGGGGCGAACCCACCAAAAACCAAAAGAGTTGTAGAAAACTTCTCCAATTGGTTAATAAAGAGTTCAAACTATAAGAATGAAAATAGTGGGATGATCTGCACCAAGACATAGCATGAAAAGTACTATTATCAAAAAGAGTGATGAAAGGCAGATCTTTGTTTAGGAATAGTCGATGGTTCCTTTCATTCCAAAAAATCCAAAGAAAAGCTCGAATGAAGTGCTTCCACATAATCTCTTTAGCTTTCTTGAAAGGGTGACCCACAAGTACTAATGAAAGCAAATCTTGTACGTCAAAAGGGAGGGCAACAGTCCAATCAAAAGCATGGAGAATCAAATTCCAAAAATCCATGGCCATGGAGCATGTGTGAAAAAGGTGGGAGGGCGAAACTTAGAATAAATAAGTTAACATAAAAGATGTTACATCCAATCTCCTTTTATTGTCACATTCAAAAGTAACTAAAATTAGTTAAGTAAACTACTAGGCAGATACCATCAATAAGTTCCCAGCGGCATCTCTTAAGTTATCAACTCTATTACAAGGAATACTTACCTACTGACAATATTTTGATATCTTAGTACCTTATAACATAACTACGCCAAAATTACAAACACAGAAGAATGAAATACCGAGCATAAGAAGACAAAGAAAAACAAACCACACTGGAATGAAAAGACGGAATGAAAAGACGCATTAAAAACATTGAAATGAGGAAGTCTGCAACAAAGAAGATTACCACTGGGTAAAGGAATGTTCTCAAAACAACAGATGACAAAGGAACATAGAGAAGCCAAGGAATAAACAACAGCACCAAAGTCAGGGAAAAGAGACAAGTGAGCTGTCCCTCTACCCATTTGCCTAAGTTAATAGGCTCGTGGTGGAATGCAATATAGTTCTGAAAATAAAAATATATATCCAAGTTGACAAATAAATAGATCATCAAATTGAAGCACGCGGTAACAAAAAAAATACTGCAGATCAATAAGACAGGGCACTAAAAGCACAATTGTACTACTGAGAAAAATGTCATATCATCATGACCATACCATGCCTCCAAAAACAACTGGACTACAAAAAAGAAACAATTATCTCCTGAAAAATATGACCCAACACATTTACACTAAAATCCAATATCTTTAGAACATCAGGCATTAAGAAACAAAGATAATGCAACAGCGATGAATAAAAATCGAATGGTGCCAATGGAACAAACAACACGAAAAGCCGGCCATAAATCATATCCACAAACAATAAAATTCGCTACTATGTACACCAGCAAGAGCAATAGCACAAATGCCAAATACTTAAAAAAAAAACAAAACAAATACACAGTACTACAATGGATAGGTGAAATAAAATCCAAGGGATGCAACAGAAAAGCAGAGAACATAAAGTTACTACCATCAAATAGTGATCAAAGAAACGAATCAGCATGACAAACGGGAACAAAATGGTTAATGCAACAGCAGTGAGCATAAAAGACATGATTAAAAATTACCTCAATAAAAAGGTGGCACATTAGGGTACATGCCCCCAGGCGGTACTCGAGGCGCTGGTGATGTACCTGTCTGTTGGTGCTGATTCGGATAACCAGATGACGATAAACTATATGGCAAACTATCTGAATAACCATTTGAAGGCATTCCAGCAGAATTAGGGGGCAACCGGTACAAACCAGATCCTGTTCCAGCTGCAGCACCACCCAATCCGCCAGCTGTGCCAGCGCCCAAACCAGAAAAGCTAGATGGTCCAGGACCGCCATATCCACCACTGTAAGGCCCGCCAAGTCCACCACCATACCCGCCAGTACCATTCAGAGAATTTTGTGCCTGGTTACTCATAGAGGGCAAGCCTGGACCAGCCAACGACGAATTGAGCGGATTATGACCAAGCTGTGGTGGACCATGGAGACCTCCCGTAAACCCACCGTACGACCCAATACCGCCAGGTCCCCCATAGTGTCCACCCATCGAACCAGGCATCGGAGCCTGCGAAGGCATACCCACCCCATCTCCATGCGCACTACCCTGACTACCTACTGAGGCCTGAGCACCATCAGGCCCAGCACCCCCAGGTTTTCCCTTCTTTCCATCGTTGGCGAATTTACAGCTTACCTGCCGCCCTTCTATTGTCTTGATCGGATCCACCAACGCTGCTTGTGCACCCTCCGGCTTCTTGTACACAAACAATGCATAACCCCTACACTTCCCCGTCTGTTTATCGAACCCCAAAGGCCCTTCCTCAATCTCCCCGTACAGACCAAAGTGTGCAAGCAATTTATCAGCAGCCATATCAATCGGAACATTTGCCACGTAAATTTTCCTCATCGACACATCCGCAGCATTCGAGTTAGACCCAGTATTACCCGCGGCCGCCAGTTGAGTCACAGTGACACGCCCGTCAATCGTTTTGCTCGGCTCTTTCAAAGCCAATAGAGCACCATCAACATGCTTAAACGTAACAAATCCATATCCTTTGGACTTCCCCGTGGCTTTATCTAAGATAACGACGGCTTCTTCAAGTTCACCATAAGCGGAGAAGAGCGTTCGAAGGCCTTCGGTTGAAGTATCCCAACCAAGCCCGCGAATAAAGAGCTTACGCTGAGAAACATCAGGATCAGCAACAGAACGTACAGCGTCGAGCACGTCGGAATGGCGGGAAACCGCGTCTTGGAGAATGTCGATGAGCTGATCCGGAGTGAACCGTTCGATGATCTTGCGAGCATCTTCCGGTGAAAGTTTCAAGAATGAGTGATCGGAGTCGGCGAGAAGGACGCCGTTTTCGTCAATCTTTCGCTTCTTGACGACGTCCATGGCCGAGTAGTGGAACCAAGTGGAGGGAAAACAATGAACAAGAAGAGAGCGTAAACCCTAATCCTAACCCCAGACGACGGAGTCGCCAACTGGTAAAACGTTCGACTGTTTTTACGGTCCGATCGACGTTTCTCGGGCTTTTTGGGCCGATGTAAATAATTGGGTAAGGTATACATAGGCCCACTAAAATTATAAAATTTCCATTTATACCCTTAAGGAAAACTATTTATGTCAAACTTGTCCCTAAATTTGTCGATTACGTTTCTGCCCCTGCCTGCTACTGCTTTCAATCCATCAATCCGTATATCACATCTAAATTCTAAACACGTGTAAGAAATTGCAAGAGTGGAAGCATGCAATTATTCAATTATCAACAAAAAAAAAATTAATAACCATTTCAATTATTTGTTAAAAAAATAAAAAAAAAAATTAAGGGTTACAAATTTTAGAAATAGGGATCGTACATGTGGAATCTAATTCGAAATCATAGGTAAATATGATTTAACAAAAGTGAAAATGCGAGGGAAATATATTTAATAGCCATTTCAATTATCTGTTAAAAAAATAAAAAAAAAATTAAGGGAAAAGTTTTAAAAATAGGGCACATCATGTGAAATCTAGTTATAACAAAAGTGAAAATACAAGAGAAATATATATATGCCAAAGCGAGCATGGTTTAAAAACAAAGTAAAATATACATGTATTTTTTTATTATTATTATTGTATAGTTGAGATGCATCAACTAGTCTATAATCTATCAATTTTACATATTGATAATTATTTTAGTGCAACAAATATAGAAATGGGGCTTGAACTTACAGTCTCTAAAAGATAAGATGTCTTTTAAGCTCACGTTTGCTCCCACGTTGGCACTTTGACATCGTAGTATTGAACCTTTAGAACTTCCATTCCAATGCCATGTTCGTCTTTAATGGTAATACTACAATGATGACATGTTAAACTCCCAACCACGTTGAAACATTATTTATATAAATGTTAAATGTTTCGATGTTTCACTGTGGTATTCAAGTTTTTAGTATTGAGGTGTATTTTAATTATTCATTTGACTTAGTAAATACTAACAAACATGGTACTAAGTTAGTATTTTTTTAACATAATAAATATTTGGTGTGGATATTTAAACTTCCAACGGTACAAAATTAAAAAATAAAAAACTTTATTCTCAAATTCACATGTATTAAATTCGTGATTTGGATTCACGACTGATCGAATATTCATGTCTTAACTAATTCAGTTATCCATTATATTTTTTTTTTTATTAAAATGAGAAATTTATAAATTTATTGACCGAAATACACAAAAGTGTAAATGACTAACAAATTACCCCAAATATAGGACACCATAATACCACACTCTACAATTTCGGTAAATGTAACAGAATTTGTAATATTCCCATATTATTCTCAACGAACTGTATTCAAAAGGGTTTTGTTCCACTACGGAGGCGGTGACGAAAGAATCTGACAGTCCAACCACATCTGGTCGCCCGTCAGTTTGACCAAAATAATTGGCTACGGGAAGAGCATTTTTAATATTAAGTTAATAATAAATAAATGTACGAATATTAATGCGCGCATTCAAAAAGGAAAGAGAGAAAATAACGGGATTCATTTAGTATTTATTATATAATTACGAGTTTTCCACTTTATGGCTATTTTTGTTGGAGTCCAAAATCTTTGGAAAATAAAATTGTAAGTACCGTATCTTATAATTAAAAAATATATATTATAACATCTCATGTGTATTCCACTATGTTATTTATTTTCTAACACGGAAAAAATACTATGTTATATTCTTTTATAATACAAAATAAATAAGGCTATATTATTGTTAATACCAACACCCTCAAAAGAGAAACAATGACAATGTATTAACAAACAACGTGGACATGAACATAGTTTACGATCAAGACATTTTTTATCCATCTAAATATTTGTTGGAAGTTTGAATCTTTTCGTATTTGTTGCACTAAAAAAATATTTTTTTTTAATCACTTCTATTGATAATATACACTCAAATTTATGAAAATACGTGTAAATAATATTCAAACTTATTCAGATTCATATAGTGAACTATAGCTTTGTAAGTTATTTATTTATAATAGCACGTTATAATTTAGTTGTTTATATATAAGTTTTTTTGAAAAATCACGCCAACCGGTGGGAATCAGTTGCTGGATGATTATTTATATACATCACTGAGATTTTATGAATTGCACAAGAAATTTGAACCAAGTAGAAATCGGTGGTTTCTCTTTGTTTTATCAAGGTTACAAACAAATCAACTAGCACATACAATCGCACATTTCTCGGATCAAAATAATTGATGGTATAGTTTGGGACATTACTTTTGTAGAAACGTAACTTTTTAATCTAGCCGAAAATGAGTATTATTGACGAAGTTATTTTCGTTTAAAAAAGTAACAATAAATAACAAAAAATACAACTTTTGATTAATAACAATCCTAGCCTTAATTTTCAACCAATATGCCATAAACTCTAATGTCATCTTAAAAAATATATATATATCCAAACGAATCAACCTTTAAACACAACCTTTTTTCTTTTCTTTTGAAAAAAGTAGAGATCATATACATATAGATATTTTGGAGTTCAAAATAAAGTGAGGATGACAAGCATAATAATAAATGAAATAAAACCTTTGAAAATTGTTCAAAAACTGAATTAGAGGACGATCAAAAGCCACATCCGAATACAAACACCCCAATCGGATAATCACAAACCCAAAAAGGGAAATAATAAAACGAACAAAAGAAACATCTGCAAAAATGGGCTGTCCAAAGCTTATGGATTTGATGAAATCATTACAAAATTTAACAATATAGAGTTGTGGATGCTGCCTCCCCTGCAATGAATTCCAGTTGTGAAAGAAATCTAGAGGGGGGTTTGTAAAAATAACCCAAAAAAATGGACAGGGCAAAGTGGGTCTATTGATGATATTGGGGGATGAGAAAAAAAACTCAAAAATGGGGGAAAGCCCGAGTGGCGAGAGAGAGAGAAAAAGGGCGAGAAGAAACGGTTTTGGTGAGAGAAAAGGCGAGTACTTGTAGATGGGTATGCCATTTGTTGTACTTGGGGGTACTGTTCCGTTTCTCAAAGATATCTTGCGTTCTTGGCTTGGTGACCAACCGTGAAGAAGCTACTGTTGCTGGTGATGATTCGCTGCGGAAAAGCTGTTCCGATTCTCATTCTCCCTCAGATTTCTTCCATACCTATTACCATTCCGCAATCTCTTAACCCTAATCCGTTTCCTGGTTTTTTATTCCATTTGCATGTTGGTGGCAAATGCGCACTGCGTTGATGGGTTTTTGTTTGTGGGTTTGTTGTTGTTGTTGTTGTTGTTTTAATTTAGCTGGAAATGAATGAATGTGGTTTCCGCGTGCTGTGTGACGGAGTTGGATGCGTTTCGAGATGGAAGGAGGGAGAGAGGCGATGTTCTTGCGGTTTCTGACAATTGGCCTTATGGGATTTCTGCAAATAGGTATGAAAAAGGTTTTCTAATTTTTGTTTTCTTCTTCTCTTTTGTCGGATTTCTGGAAACTGGTAATGTAGTTGCGCGATTTCTGGGTAACTTGTTCGGATTTAGATATAGAGATTGCCACAAGGACCTATTGGAAATGGGAAGCTAATGCATGTTTATTTCGTCTTACATTCTATTCTATTTGGCATCTGCAATGCCGAGTGTCGAAGAATGTAGGCTATCGACAGAAACTACTTCAAGGGTTCGAGCAACCGCCTATTCTTCTTATTTTTGTTTTTTTTCCCCCACGTCTTCTGCTTTTGACCCCAGGGAAGATATGGCCTTTATGTTCTTTCTATTGGAGTTGATTTAAGTAAAAATTTTTATTTTTCTAAATGTTCGAAATTCAGGTTTGATTTCTTGTGCTACAGGTCCTTCCTTCTGAAATAGTGTATGCGCGGGGTGGATAAGTGAGGGTTGGTAGCTTAAGAAGGATTCTGATCCATACTTATGGATTTCCAGGACGACGACTTTGAGGGATCTGCAAATGAACACATTATTTTTAAGGAGGTTTTCTTTGGGAATAGCTCTAGCCATTTTAATAAGAAGTGTCCTTGTAAGGCATTTAGTTACGAACATGAATCCTGTAAGATTAATGATGCATCTTTATGCTCAAGTAGTAAATTCTCAACAGTGTGTAGCCATTCATACTCAAGAAATATAAAGCCCGATGAATGTTACAGTGCTATTGAAAATAATAGAAGTGGTTCTGTACGAAACAGTTTGCAATGCAAATGCACTTCAGTGGAAGACAAAAATGAGAATGCAAGTGTAAAGCGAATAAAACTTTCAACTGATGAAGATGAACCTTCGGATTCTATACCTGATCTAGGTAAAGTTATGAACTCATCAGAAATAATAAGAGAACCTGCTTCTGCGGGTTGCTGTCCAGCCGAGGACTGTGATTGTGAATCATTCACTTTCCACATTGTAGAATCATCTAGCCAGGGTATCATATCAAGTTGCTATTTGTTAAAGAACCTTGTAGAAATGGACAGTAATGTGGGTGATCCTCATGTATCAAAATGCACAACGTTAAATTTAGAAGGTAATGATGAATCCAATATGGTTGTTAATAAAGTTGGTGCTTCATCTGTTTCCCAAGAGAGCTCCATGACCAGGCTGTTGGTAGCAAGTCCTTCTGTCACACTTGATGAGAAGTTTGGATCTCCATTACATCTGGATGTAGGACAAACGAGATTTCAATGTCCAGAACTGGACACTTCCTTGAAGACAGATTTGGTAAGGGATCCCCGTCCTCTTCTCCACTATCATGTTGTTCACTTATTTATTGCAGCCGGATGGTCTATTGAAAGACGCAAAAGACCTTGTAGACGCTATTTGGAAACAGTTTATAGATCACCCCAGGGGAGGGTCATTCGTGAATTTTCCAAGGCTTGGAGGATTTGTGGCGAACTCCTATTTGCTAACAGATGTAGTTTTGTAAAGGAAGTTGACAGCAAGGAATGGACTGGCATTCATCAATTCTTATTTGATCTTTCTGACACACTGTTACAGGTTGGGAAGGAAATGAATAATTTAGGAGCTACAACTATGTTGGCACACTGCTGGGTCATTCTAGATCCTTATGTGGTGGTTGTGTTCATTGACAGAAAGATTGGTACACTTAGGAAGGGAGATGTAGTTAGAGCTACCCGTAGTATTGGGATTAATGGGAGCAATAAGACTGATACTTTCGTGACCTTAACAAATGCAGATAGTATGTGCAACACATTTGCCAACAAAAATACATCACCACTCCATGATCATTCACCATCTGCCAAGAGTGCGTTGACAGAGACTGTGTTGAAAGATCTTGATGGGGGCTATTCTGCTTTTGATGAGCAAACCTGTGATACAAGTTTCTCCAATTATTATGGCCATACAGAAGAAGGAACAGTGAACTTTTCTACAAGGGTGTGTGATTATGTCCCCAATGTAGGGACTGGTCCCGATTGCATGGGCAGTCATTGTAATGAACTTGGGAAGAAGATAGACAGCAAGGACTTAGCATCATTACCTGCTTATTTATCAGGTTCCACTTGCAAACATAGATGTTTGCCTGATGGTGTTCCGTCTGGAAATTCAGATAATGTTGTCAGAGTTTCTTGCCCTGTATCTCCTGATCAGGATAGCACTTTGTATTGTTCGGATGAACAGAGCTCTGAAAATCAAGTTGAAAAACCTAATGAAATGGATAAAAATGTACTTATGAGTTCCCTAGGAGAAGAGTTACAAGTGGAAGTCCCCCTTAATGATAAGGTGGAAAACAATCTGGATGAATCTCTGAATGATTGTCAAAACTATACTACAAGCGATGATTTATCTCATTCTTGTGCCTCTGGAGTTGTACAGAAGTCTACACAAAATGAAGAAGAAGGTGGGCTGCTCTTTGCAGCTTCAAAGTTAGAAACAGAGAATAAAGTTTCTGCTGCACATTCTATTTTGAAGAAGAAATGGCGTCGGAAGTGTAAAAGGATATCTGAAATTAATCCTACCGTGCCACCTCAGATTGACATTGTAAATGTGACTCCAGGAAAGAAAACTAAGTTGTGGGATATTGATGGGAATTGTTCTCAGTTGGATATGATAGAAGATCAGAAGTCCCAAATAGCTGATACTAAAAACAAGGACATTCACGAGAAGAGCTTGTCGCTCAGTCCTATGTCATGCTATTCCGAGAGAAAAGGTTCAAAGTTCAAAAAGATTTATGACAGTCTTAGGGGTTCAAAAACCAGAAAGAAGAAATTGGGTGAATGTCAAATTGAGGATGATGACCTATTAGTTTCAGCCATAATTAGAAACAAAGATTTCGGTTCAAGTACTGCTGGTTTTTCCCCTGTAAGAAAATTTTTAAAATCTAGAGCAAAAAGGGACCGCAAAAGTCAAAAGAGTAGTTGTAAGCTACTCTTAAGAAGCTTGGGTAATGGGGAAAAGAGTTATAAAGATGGGAAGTGGTATAACATTGGGGCTAGAACAGTATTGTCATGGTTGCTAGATGCTGGGGTTATATCCTCTAATGATATAATCCAATATCAAAATCCCAAGGATGATAGTGTAGTTAAATATGGTAGGATCACTGGAGATGGCATCATCTGCAATTGCTGCAGCGAGCTACTCACGATTTCTGAATTTAAAAGTCACTCGGGGTTCAAATTTAGTCGCCCTTGTTTGAATCTTTTCTTGGACTCTGGGAAGCCTTTCATGTTATGCCAGCTTCAAGCATGGTCTACGGAGTATAAGACAAGGAGAAGTAGGACTGGAACAGTTCAAGTTGATGAAGATGATCGAAATGATGATTCATGTGGTGTTTGTGGTGACGGGGGAGAGCTAATATGCTGTGATAATTGCCCCTCTACATTCCATCATTCTTGTTTGTCCATTCAGGTTTGTCTCTTCAACGTTTGGTAATTTGATGGTGAATATTCATGTCTTCATACTGCACCCTAGTGTTGTGTAATACTTGTACTGTACTATTAATCAATCTCATTTCTTTTTAACTCCTTTAGGTTTTCTTATGTTCAATATGATTATATTCACTTTTATCTCTCCTTGATTATGTCATAACTTAAAAATTATTCTGCACACTTCTTGAAATTTGTTAGTAGACGGGGTGACAGTTTTGTGGTAAATAGCATTGTATCTAATAGTTGATGCTTTTAATTGCTCTGGGACAGGAAGCATGCTACTGTTGACAACGTGTAGAAAAAAATATACTGATTGGCAGTCCAGTTTATCCTTGTTTTCCTTAGTAACTTCTTTGGGTGTTAAACTTTGTACGTACGGGTTGGCAAACAAATGATATATCATGCTTCTTATTTTCTCCAACGTCTAAAAATCTCATTGTAGCCTTTTTCTTCGTCAAGTGATTGAGTTCGATGGTTTTTTTTTTAAAATTTAATTTAATTAAATTTAATATTGTTATTGCTCAGTTTCCAGTTTTCTATATAATTAAATAAACGTCTCTAATTATTGAACTTTAGGAGCTCCCTGAAGGCAACTGGTATTGCTTAAACTGTACTTGCCGGATTTGTGGTGGTCTGGTGGATTATGAAGAGGCTTCAAGTTCTTCTGATGCACTAAAATGTTCTCAGTGCGAGCAAAAGTGTAATTCCTATGCCTACTCTTGAATTGTTTATTTTATATTTATATTGTTCAAGAATTAAAAAAAAAACTCTGTTATTGCTTAACTGGTTTACTGCATTTGCTATGGCAATAAAATTATTTTCTTTAGATTTCTTAAGGTTTGAAACTTACATGTTGATTTCTACAAGGAAAATATTTCTAGATTTCTTTGAGAAGTCACAAATAATTTTTTATGACTGTGGATGGTTCATTTTTTGAGAGTTGAAATTTCTTTATTGTAGGGTAGAATACATATTGTCTTCTGGTAAAAGGAGGCCGGAGGTATTGCAAGAACCTTACCTTACCCAATTGGCACAAATCAGAGTTAAATACTAACTACATAAAACACTGTTTTTGGAACGCAAACTTGCCTGAGAAAGAATATCATCCCATGACCTGTTAAGGGATCTTTCCTCCTATTTCTCGCTTATGAGACTCCCTTGAAAAACTCTAATTGGATTGAGCCAAAGGGTTTTTGCCTTTTCTTTGAACGGTGACCACACAAATGAACAGAAGAGAATCTCTGACATGGTTTGGGTCACTATAGGCCAACCAAATAAATTTAAAAAGCTTCCTCTATAACTCCTAGGCAACAGGACAGGAGAAGAACAGATGCTTTGAGAATTTCTCATCGCTTCTGCGCATAAAACCAGAACTTGGCAGAAGAATCATTCAACCTATATTTGATCTATCTTTCATGGGTATCCTTGTTGGACTTTCTCATGATTATTAACCTCTCCAAAAGCTGAGGAACAAACAAAGAATTTGATTGCCTTTTGATACTTGCGATTCCAAATCTACTTGAACATAGAAGTATCCTAAGCTTCTATGCCACTATAAAGATTTGAAACCAAAAGTTTTGAGATGAAAGTGCCTCAGCTTTCCCACCTTCAGATTCTCCATTGTCAGAACCCTGTCTTAAGTTATCATTTCCTCTAAAAAGTCCTCATATCTATAGTTAATCACATATCTCAAATGAACTGCAAGAAGCTGCAAAAAGTTGCTGTATGAATTCACCCTATATTTGATATATCTTTCATGGGGATCTGATGTACCTTTTACCATACAAATTGACGTTCAAGGTTATTTGGTTAGAAAAAGGAAATTGAATTTTATATGGACAAGGCCATTGTTTTAAGGCTTATTGAAGACATGATGAAATGGGAATTTATGAATAACTTTGCATAGGGACTCTTTGATCCTCAATTATTAATCTACCGTTTTTTAAGGAAAATTTTTTATCAGTAGGGTGAAATGTACTAATAGGGAGGGCCAAAAGCAGCCTTAGGCCCTTAACCCAAGCCATAAAAAAAAGGGCAGAAATGGCAATAATAGGCGGAATTGAGAAAAAGATATTTCAACGAATTTTAGCCTATCATTATGCCAAACAATTATTTTATTTTATTTTTATAGAATGCTAAGTAATTCATTTAATTTACTTTCAGTAGCACCACTGTAAACTCATAAATGCCAAACTTAGTTTCTTATTGGTAATTGTTATACTAATCGTTGGCATCTTGAGAAGGAATTATTCTTCTGTTTGAGCTCAAGTTATTATGAGGGAGCTCCTTAAAATGGGGTATCCTTCTAACAAATAGTGGTTTAAACAGATCATGGGCGATGCTTGAAGCAAAAAGACATTGATCCTGGAGTAGAATCTCATATTTGGTTTTGTAGTGGCAGCTGTCAGAAGGTATTCTTGCATGAATCTTATGTCCTATTATTTTTATTATAGTGACAAATTTATTGGCTTTGGAAAAAATGGAGTTCATATGCATTTAGATGTAAATTAAAAATAAATAAATTCTCAAACCATGAAAGGGTAAAAATCCCTAATAATGAATTTTCTCAATGCCCAATTTCCTCGTAGATGACATTTCTTCATATTTGGAATTAGTGCCTTGTAAATTGATTTATGCTGGGTGACCTACGTAATGCAGGCATACTGAGCCTTTATTAAAGTGCGTCATGGTTATAACTACCTACCTATTGTTGATCTTGCTGATTCTGATTATTTACATAATGTCATTCACTGATGTCTGCAGGTTTACGCAGGTCTTCAATCACTACTTGGATTGATTAATCAGTTTCCAGATGGATATTCATGGATGCTTCTTAGATGCATTCATAATGACCAGAAAGTTCTATCTACCCAACGCTTAGCTATGATGGCAGAATGCAATTCCAGATTAGTAGTGGCTCTAACTATCATGGAGGAATGCTTTTTGTCCATGGTAGATCCGAGAACAGGAATTGATATGATACCACATCTGGTGTACAGCTGGAAGTTAGTACCCTTTTTTTTTTGTTTCTTTTTCTCTCTTTGATAAGAAATTTACTTTTCATTATCAAGAAGAAAAATACAAGGAAAGAAAATGGGACATCCTCTCAACCTACAAAAAAGGAGGTCACAACAATACCCTCCCAATAGTATTAGTAAAAAAGGAGGGGTAAGACACAAGAATTTTTACCTCAAAGAGCTACATTAAATTTCAGGAACTCCCAAATTCTCTTAAAAAATCTTGCATTTCTTTCCAGCCACAGTTTCCAAAGTGCAGGTTTCACCACATCTTTTGCATTTCATTTTGAATGGAGCTACTGGAATCATTTGAAATAAATCAGATGAGGTCTCAGAATACACCAGCTTAAAACTAAAGCTTCCAGCACTGTTTAATCTCTATAGGAAAATAAAAATTTAGAAAGAGTCTTTGTTGCTCTTGTGGTTTAAAACACTCCAAGAAGGTGAAGGATCATGTCAACCTACCAGGGCAATGCTATATTTATTGAACATGTCCATCCTGCTCCTTCAAAACTGTCATCTATTAAATCGTTCAACAAACATTTATGATTATCAACTCTTCCTATTCTCTGATGCATGTGTAGGTCAAATTTTCCTCGTCTGGACTTTCATGGTTTTTACACAGTGATACTAGAGAAAGATGATGTGCTGCTATGTGTAGCATCTATCAGGTATCCTAAATTCTTCTTTGGTAGTGTTTTAGCTTTAAAATATATTCGTCTTGGCTTGTTAAAGTATTCCTATAAAGTTTGATGCAGTTTTTTACCTCCTCCAAATAGAAATGTTGAACGTACCATGTTATTGTCAACATTTTTGTACATGTTAATATGAATCATTTATTGTAATTTTTATTTTATATATCTAACTCCAGTCACGTATAGAATGGAATGAAGGATTCTCCCAGATTGTCTCACATTATTGTACATGTACATAACACGGAGATAAGACATCTCCTTCCAGAATCTCATATCCTTCTTTTGTATATCCTCTTTGATTAATACTAGTTTTGTTTCTTATATATATAGACAAAGAAAGACATCTCCTTCCAGAGAGCATACTGGATCTGAGAGTATCAAAATTGGATCTTTCATCGTACATAATAGTGTTGAGCTGAAATAAATCATCCTTCACTGCTTCGTATGATCTTTCTTCTGAAACATTCTTTTTATAATAATGTTCTTACAGTTGTTGAAAGAAACTAAAAGTGGTAACTGATACCACGTTTTGATTTGCACTATGAGTTCCTTTAAAGACACAAGTCCTACTTTTAACATAATTCTGTCGTGTTTGGTATGTGATTCTTGTTGACATAGTAATTTTGGAGCTAGCACTTTTTGTTGCTTGCTTGCCATCCATTAGTTTTATATATCTGATTTTGAAGGATATTTGGCAAGTGGAAATATTTATTCTTTGGAGGGTTCTAACTGTTTGTAACGTATTGCAAATATATATGTTGATATTTTCTTTGTTTACTCAAACTTTTGTTGTTGCAGGGTACATGGATCAGAATTAGCTGAGATGCCTCTTATTGCAACTTGCAGTAAATATCGTCGCCAGGGAATGTGTAGGCGTCTGCTGAATGCTATTGAAGAGGTATTTTTCCACGCCTTACATGAAACTCAACATTTGCAACCTTCATTGTAGAAAGGATATGCAACAAAGTGGAAGGAAAAGAGCTACGTAAACGTACCTCACTAGTCAACCTGTGTAGAAGGTTATGAGTCTGGAAAACCAAAGATCATAAACCTTATAGTTTAGATGCATAAACCCCAATTTTAACTACCGAGAGAGAGAGAGAAAGAGGTTTGATGTTACTGAAGTTCTTGGTTTGGAAATTAAGGAAATTTCCACATCTCTGTCATAAAAAGGTGTATTTGTTATTCCTTTTGCACCATCACTATACATCCGAATGGTAGTTTCTTAAAATGGAAAATCAAATGAAAGAAAACAGAAGGGGCCAGCAAAACAGTAGAGCCCAATAAGAGGAGTCAACCAAGACTAGACTAAATTTTAAAAAAGGACTCCTATCCAGAAGAGCAAGTCTTAATGGATAATTACGAAAACTCTTTAGAAGTAGATGCCTTAAGAGATTTGCAGTGAGCAGCAGCGAAAGAATATGCCCCTTATCAAGAAATGGCAGATGAGATAGTATCTCCTCCAACATAAAGCAACAACCTATATTCCGAGCCAAGCAAATGCCAAAATACTTCTGAAGAGTAGTTGTAACATTCTTCTACGACATATTCCCAGTTGCAACGTGTACCTTCTGTTGTCTCAAACTTCACTATCCCTATTTTAACTTCTGAGCCCGGGATTGAATTTGAAGTATCTTCCCATTAACAAGAACCTCAACTGGTTTTGGCACAATGGCAATTGTGTTGCTTTAATAGAGCTCAGTCTTCTCTGGTCACTTAGTTGTTTGAAAGTTCATGTTCATGTTATTGGTAACACTACAATTTTGGATTTTGCTACATGCACATTTTAGTACATGTTAGCCAATGTATATTTTTCTGTCAAAGTCTCGTTTCATCATTACTTTTGTGGATGTTCCAGATGCTACTGTCTTTTAAGGTGAAAAAGCTTGTGATTGCTGCAATTCCTACTCTGGTGGAGACATGGACTGAAGGTTTTGGCTTCATACCTGTGGAAGATGATGAGAAAAAAAGTCTTCACAGGTTCAACTTGATGGTGTTTCCTGGAACGATACTACTAAAAAAAGCCTTGTATTCAAGTGGTCAAAATACAGAGAAGACAGAAGGCAAGTATCATTTGCTCCTAGCACTAGACTCATCTGCTGTGTTAATTAAACTGTATTCATCTGATAAAGTAATTTCATTGATTAAGAAATTTTAGAACAAAAGGATATAACATTGTCTCATTTGAACCGACCAACTAAAGCAGGAACTCAATCGGTAGAAGAATTCGATGCCGAGTCAAAACAACATTGCGACGGGCACTCTTGTCCCGACAAAGCATGTCCTAGAATGGAAATGCAATGTTCGAAATATGAAGAATTGCCAGAACACAATGATCAAAAGACAGGAAATCCAGCTCCAATCAATTCATCGTCACAGTTGGATGAATCAAATGGTGTGGATGATACTCCAGAACAGAAGTCTGTTAAGTCAGTAATACAATCTGATGGAAACTGTTCACTGACAAAGTTGGTGCCACAACTGAAACCAGCACCCAAGAAGGGAAAGAGTTGTTAGAAGTAGACGTTGGTGCGGAATGTGACATCCAGCTTTCAGAAGGAGACTTGTAGAACCTGTACAGCAGCAGTTCAACAGAACCTGTTGTTCTAACTTAGGTAAATGCAGAGGCAGAAATGGAAGTTTAGAGAGGGTGAGTAGGATTAAAGAGGAGTCGTCCGGGGGAAATGAGTTTACAGGACCATTTTTCAAAGCTGTCCCGTGAACATGAATTTCCAACGCTAGTAGGGAATGACCAAGTTTCAGGTTAAAAGATGGTACTTTTTGAAATGTAGGATCCGCAGGTATTATGTGTATGTATGATGAAGCATATCCTTTTGTAGCCTGAAAACAGCTTCATTGTTGAATGAAAAGTTGAAATCTGATCCTATATAAACAAACCTGTTTTTCATGCAGAGAATAATAGGTCTTTTTTCCCCTCCCCTCCAAGAAACAACACTATTGATACTAAGGAGAGATATAAAATGACTTTTATATGTTATGTGCTTCAAATTGATCATTGTTTATTTTTATAGAATGATTCATCTATTAAAATAATTGGAGTTAGTAAATCGTCAAACTTAAAAAAAAAGTCTTTTTTTTTGTTTTTCAAAAAATTTTAAAACTGTGACTAACTTATTAGGATGGGTTGGTCATAAATAAAGGGAGGACAAGAATGGTAAAATTTGTTATTTTACTCCTCTTTAATATAAAAGGGAAGGATTTGAATCTTCGATTCTTGGAGAAATAATGTTTTTTTTTTTTGGGTTTCTTGATAAAAAATCTCTTGTTTTTTTTTCTTCCTAACATTTATGAAATGACCAGATTATTAATGAGTCGAAGTCCATAATATTGTTTAATTTTGCATATTTCTTTCGAGGATAATTACTAAAATAACTCCTAGAAGCAACTATAAATATGAAAAATAAAAGAAAAGTTGAGTTGAAAAACTTTAAAGTTTGGTACAATTAATTAGCTTAAAGAAGAAATTAATTAAATCAACACTTCTTTTGGTTATTTTGCCTTAATAGCTTATTTTTTACTCAAAGAAAAAAGAGAGAGAGAGAGAGAGAGAGAGAGAGAGAGAGAGAATGAAATCTGAGCTGAGTGTCCCTACCGGCAACCAAAAACCAGAGAGACTCGGTGTCTCTCTCTGAAACCGCCATTTTCTCCGATCAGCCGATCGAATTTGTGCTCAGAAATGATCCACCATCTCCGTTTTTCTTCCGATTCCATGTAATCTGAACTGAGCTCAATTGGGGACCTCTACGACGCTTTGCTTTACGCCATGCCTTCGTCGCCTAAGGTCTTCCACGCCCGCCACTCGCCTACTTCTCCATTCTACTCCCGCAGATCTTCAGTCCTCCTCTTCTCCTGTATCCTCTTCGGCATTTCTGGGTTCATCTTCGGACTCACCTCGTTTTTATTTACTCGCCCCGGATTTAATTGTTCTATCCGTGAGCCGAGGAGTGTCAAAGTCGTCTGGGAGAGAGCGGGTTCTTCTGGTGGTGTTTTTAGTGGAGGTACTGGAGCAACTGGCGGCGATGAGAAGCGTCATAAAGTGATGGGGTTTGTGGGGATCCAGACCGGGTTTGCATCTGATGGCCGGCGTCGATCTTTGAGGCAGACTTGGTTGCCTTCTGATCGGGAAGGGCTTCAACGGTATCGTTTCTTTCTTTTTCGTGATTCGTGTTCTTAAGCAAGGGTGTTTTGTGAGTGTTGGTTGGCATTTTGAACTAGAATTGGTGGGCTTGCGGCTGATCTGAATCTTGTCGTGACTTAGGCTTCGGATTTTATCTTTACCTATTGATCTTGGTGAATGCTGGTCTATGATTATTTATGCTAGTATTTGTTTTCGCTTGATTTTGGGCAATGGCATTGGAGTGACGTACCCCTGAACATCTATCCTATTTGCTTTCGTGCCCCAAGATTTTTGTTTAACTCTGAATATTCATGCACTTGATATGATGCAACTTCCTGGAATGATATGGTATTTCAGTGGGTTCATAGTTGTGCTTGTAGTAATTTGTAAACTGACATCAGTGGTGGCTCCCAGATTGGAAGAAGCCACTGGCTTGGCTTTCAGATTTATAATTGGAAAGACAAATGACAAGTTGAAAATGTCGGAGCTCAAAAAGGAGGTAGCAGAGTACGATGACTTTTTGCTATTGGATATTGAAGAAGAGTATAGTAGGCTACCTTATAAAACGTTAGTATGGACAAAGTAGTATTGAACAAAAGTTTGATTCCATTTATTTTGGAACTACTAATCTTTTATGCCTAAATTACAGGTTAGCATTCTTTAAAGCTGCATATGCACTATATGATTCTGAGTTTTATGTCAAAGCTGATGATGATATATATTTAAGGCCAGGTGACCATATTTTTTAAATGGATTCATTATTTGTAGATTTCCATGATGTTTTTAGTATTTGATAATGTTGGTTCCATCTTGCTAGATCGCCTTTCGCTTCTACTGGCAAAAGAACGCTCACACCCTCAAACTTACATTGGCTGCATGAAAAAAGGCCCAGTTTTCACAGATTCAAAGTTGAAATGGTCTGTTTATTCTTTTGGACTTTTCTGTTTAACCTTACCAATGTTGTTATGTTCTATATTTCTATATCTGAGGATCAACTCTCTTTCCTGTTGGTATTTGTTAATACATTTCTGTCTTTGGTTTAACTTTAGGGTAACTTTAAATCTTAAGGTTTCAGAAAAGAGGGTAGCATGCCCCGAGTGTGGCCTTGTTGGTTGCGGGTTTGAGGCTTTTGGTGGAATTATAGCTTAGGTCCTAGTTCAAGCCTTAGCCTCTGGGCAGAATTCACTGGTGTTTGGGTGCACGAAATCTCCCCCTTGGAGTGGTTGGGTGGGATCCATACCACAGATATTTAGAGAGAGAGAGAGAGAGAGAGAGAGAGAGAGAGAGTGAGGCATGTGTGTGTATATTTATGTACACATACATACATACCCATGTCACGTCTATTATAATTGATTATAGAAGGACTACAGTTACCGACTAAGTTGGAGTAGGAGCACTGAGAAAAAGTGTGGAATTAAAAAGAACCTAGATTGTATCCAATCTCTAAAGGGAGCATCCTCCTTTTAGTAAGAACACTGTCCCAGTCATTTTGGAATCGGCCATTTTTTTGTGCTAGAAACTTGATAATGGCAGGGGAAGGTTTGTATAATGTCGAGTTCAACTCTAGAATAGGTTTTAGCCTGGCCCCTCCAATATTTTTAAATTTATTTGCTGTAGTCCAACATCATGTCTGACCCTCATCTATACTAGAAACAATGTTCACAATCTTTCTGTTTCATATAGGAAGGTAGTGCCAAAGCCATTTGATTAAGAGGAACTTGTTGTGCATACCTAGATTGTCAAGACCAAGACCACCATGCTGAAAGAGGAGGGAAACAATACTCCAATTTGATCATTAACTAACATTTGAGAGCAGTAGATCAGAACTGCTATAACTTAAAAGCTTTATAAGTAAATTAATAGATTTAAATTTTTTGATACGTATGCTAAAGTTAGCTGTGGCACTACCATAAAACATAGCCAAGAGAGAAATGGGGCATATATACAAGAATTAATATGGGTTATGACACTTCATGAAGTATGCTATCCATCTTACGGATAGATTCCAGTTGAGTTTTGATGATTCCTATTGATTACTTCCCTTTTGTTTGATTAGTAATATGTATGTAGTGTTTTGTTGTTGTAGGTACGAGCCACTGTCTCCTTTGCTCGGAAATGAGTATTTCCTTCATGCCTACGGTCCAATGTATATCCTCTCTGCTGACGTTGTTGCAAGCTTGGTTGCTCTTAAAAATAATAGGCAAGTTTACTTCTTTAAAACTTTTAATCTTGCGTGTACCTTTAAATAATGTGACTACCAATTTTCAATTAAAGATTCTTTGTTTGGTCCTTCTGAGTCTCTGATCCATCTCCAGTATGCATAACTCTCTGAATGTAAAGTTCACCTGTTAGTAGAATTTCTGGTGCTCTTACTTGACATGCAGATATTTGAATCAATTGTTTCCCAAGTTTTATCAACCATACTAGTGTCAAAAATTGATCTTCATGCCTTGATCTCTCTTTTCTCTTTCCCTTGTTCTGTAACAATAAAATTTTTGCCAAATTAAACGTGCATTTTGATAATTTTAGATTTCTAAAAATCAGGCACATGGAAATATTCATGCGTATAGTTGTTGTTGAAAAAGCAACTTATGATATTCAAAAGAGAGTAGATTGAAAGATATGTTTGATTGATTGATACATGAAACAAAAGTCTCTTCTGTTGAATTGTTGTTGGAATCTTTATGAGGTTTATAATATGTTCTATGAAAATTGCAGTTTCCGCATGTTCAGCAATGAGGATGTAACAATTGGTGCTTGGATGCTCGCTATGAATGTTAATCATGAGAACAATAAAGCACTCTGTGCAACAGACTGTACGCCTACATCTATTGCAGTATGGGATATTCCCAAGTGTTCAGGTTGGTATTCTTGTGCTCAAATGTAGTTTTATTTTTGTGAAACAGAACACGAATCTGATATAGTGTAAAGTTACATAGGTTTCAAAGACGCCACACGCTTTTCATGCTCACATCATAATACAATAAAAATATAGAACTCCCGTTAATACAATACACTCCATCCAGGCATCCATACAAGGTATTTGATAAAGAAAAAAAAAAACCTCCCAATTATGATTCCAACTAGCAACTGGAATTCCATGGAACTCCTCATCTAAAGACACCCATGATGAAAAATTAGTTTTAGTACATACTAACACCTCCTACCATTCCTTTGTCACCTTGTCAAACAATCTATATCCCTTTTCAACATATATTCCACAGAAAAATATTTTACAGTATTGACCCACAGCTCCCTTGCTTTTCCTTGGAAGGATTTCCACGTAACAACTGCTTCACGCTCTCTTTCTGAATGATGAAAAACTCATGAAAGTCCTACCAAATTAAGAAAATAATTCTTCAGATTCCTACTGAAAGAAAAAAAAAACAACATAGGGAACAAATTCTCACTATCCATCAAACTCAATGAACAGTGAGAAGGACGTGAGCTTTTCAACAAGGGCATCTTTGCAGCCCTTCCGTTGTATTGAGACTTTCTAAACGAGCCCATTGATCTTTCTTGGACAAGTTCCTTTCCAAATCTTTGAACACGACTTATTAACTTAACACTCAGCACCTTACTATCAGTCCGTCACGATTCAACTTCTGCCCAAATGTAGAATTAATATACATGTTGTCAATTTACTTTCTTTCAATTGACCGTAAATGCTTTAATTTTTTGGTAATTGATTCAATTTCACGAGGATAGAGAACTAGGATTTTCCATTAATTGCAGTTCAGTGTCTTGAGTATTGACTTACGTTAGAGATGTTATATTTCCAAAATTTCAAATTTCTTGAAATTCTTTCACATAGGAAATACTTGTTTGTTATCCTTAATTCAACAATCAAATCTTGGAGGTGGTTTTATACCTCGAAACTTGAAGCACAATTTATCCAGTGACATTTACCTTAGGCTTATTTGCAATGCAATATAAATCATTACACCTTTCAATGAGAACCGTTAGATAGTGAAAATTTTCTAGATGCCTTGATAAAGTAGAAGTAAAATATGATCCTGTAAGATAAATTTTGTTCTTCAGGGCTTTGCAATCCAGAAAAGAGAATGTTGGAACTTCACAATAAAGAAAGCTGTACAAAGACCCCTACTTTACCATCGGATGACTAGACATGATATCCCCATTTTTCTCAAGGGAGTCGAGCTACGTCCTTCAGGTTCAGGGAGTTTTCTGTTTAGTCCCAAGCATATAGCGTCGATTTCACCCCTTTTTACCTTCTGAATATGTATTTTTCGAAAGGATTTCTACACGATTGGTTTCATACTCTTCTTGATTCCAGGGGGGTGGCTTTAGAAATAGAGCAATAGGAAATTGTTTTTGTGATCAGATATTAGTGTCTTTCCCCCAGTTCTCATTCTTTGATATCTAAGGCTTATTTACTTCTGCAGAGTTGTAAATTTGAGCACCTCCCACTCTCTACCTTTTCTTTTCCTTTCTGATCGTGGCTGACATGCTGTGGAATCTAAATATCCTTCAGGCATCCTTCATTCTTTCATTCACTTTGCTCAACTTTCTGAAACTAATTATTTTATTCACTTTCAAAGAAGTAAATTGAAGTTTCCAATTCAACTGGAAACACTTCTACATAGAATTAGATACAGAATATGTACGGTTATGATGGAGGAGAAGGTTTTATTCCATCTCCTTTCATGATAAAGGGGCGTTTATGTGACGGGTAGCTTTTTGTGATCTTATGGAACACTTGGCTCGAGAGAAATAGGAGAGTCTTTAGTGACAAGTAAAGTTCTTGTGAGGAGGTTTGGAATTTAGCTGAGTTCTTCCTCCCTCCATTGTCAAGAGAGGAAGAACATTTTGCTTGAAAGCAATCAATATCTTAATGGATTTGAAAATCATTTGTGTCATAATTTAATGGAGAGTGCAACTCAAGGTAACCAAGTGGAAATAAAAGGGTTTGCATAATGATGAGCCCAATGATTTGCCCATTCTAGCTAAAAATTATAATTTATATTTTGGTCCTTCAAATTTGAGTAGGAATTGTAAGGTGGTCTAAATTGGTCTTTGAAATCCTTGTTTTTTTTTTTTAAATAATCAAAATTAGAATTCAAAGTAATTAAAATCAGCATTATTGGTAATGTCTAACTTTACTATTTATGAAGTTATTTATATACGAACATCAAAGTTTTGTCTTTATCACTAAATATACCTTCACTTCTGGGTAGAGCTCTACTCTCTAACATGAACTCTAGTATATTTTCTTCTTCAAAACATGTAGACTGGCCATTTCTACATCCATCACATATATTTTCAAATATATATCTTAAAAATTATGAACTCTTCTATTTAGTTGCATTTTATTCAATGAAGTAATAACGAAAAAGATTGCATGTCGATAAACTTTAAAAAGAAAACTTCCAAGTCAGGCAATCAGAAGGAGAAAAATATATACTTCTATAGGAAATTTCATGTTTCTAGAGAAGCATAATATGCTGGTGACAATTTGACGAATTTGAACATACTCAACTCAACATATTGTTGTACTAAAAAAAGAAATCTTATGTGTGTTTCATGCACTTCAGAATTTTTGTTAATAATTATTCAAAAAAGAAAAAAAAAAAGTGAATTGGGCCAATTTGGAATTGGTCAAAAGAGTTAGGAACAACCTAGCTAGGGGGATATCTAACCTACAATATAAAGAGTTCATTCAATTTTTTCAATTCTTTTCCTTCAAGAAAAGACTATCTCCCAGAACGTTGAAAATTCGGCCAAGAGTCGTCCCGCCAACTAGAACACTTGTCGGACCTCTCGTGTCAATCACTTCCATTCCTCTCGTTAGACTATCTGTAGCACTAAGGAACTGTTTAAAAAGTTAGCTTTTAGAATAAAATATGATTGAAAATAAGCTTGATTAACCAAATTTCTCCTCCTTTAAACGACTCATTTATGAGAACAATTAATATTCTTCTAGGAAATTATAAGTATGTAAATTACGAGTCACCTATTCAAAATAGTTTTTTCTAAAACATATCATAAAAACTGTTTCGTCACAGACTTTAATTTCTCGTCTTCTATAGTTTATCAACTTTTTCATATTAGATGAATTAGCCTATAAACTAGTCATTCAATGATTAAATTTCTTTCTAAATCTTTACCCAAAATCTTCAAAATACCCCCAAGAAAATCCCATAAACTTGCATCCTTATGAGCTTGAAAACAAGGTTTTCCATACTTTCTGCCAAATTGCATTTCTATTTTGTAATGTGAGGGCAAAAAGAATCACATGAATATGCTTATTGAAGTAGAATAATAATGCAAAAATTTGGTGCAAAGCCTTGTAACATATGTTCCTAATAAAGTAATAGTACCATTTCAAAAAACAGTGATCAAATTTAGCCAAAGAGTTTTCTAGCTGTGATAATGATGTTTCTGTTGGGATTTCCATGATTGAAAACAACACTTTGAAGTTCAATCATATCAATTGTTAGCTACAAATAAGCATCATGACAACCCTTGCAAGCAAATGCCCACTTTGGAAATGGTATTAAAACTTTGATTTTTGGTAATCAATATCTTATAATATGAAGGCAAAATCTAGCTTCAAATCAAACAAATTATCATCTAATCCCACCATTATCTTGATAAATATATAGCAATTGTTGCACATTAATGAGATGAAATGATCCCATTATTGTTGTTTCAATATCACTAGCAATGATTTTATGGATAATTGGGTAAATAATTGGATAAGAATTAAGATATTTGAGGGTGGATTTATTTGGATGTTGTGACATATGATTGTTTTTTTTTTTTTTTTTGGGTGAAAAAGGTTCCTTGGCTAACAAGCTAAGTTATGTTTTTTTCTTCAACTTTGGATTTGATATTTAACTTAGTGCTTTGCAAGGTGTCTTTTGCAAGAAAAGGGAGAGTTTTTGTTTAATTTATTGTGTTGACAAATTGAGTCAAATTCAATCTTCTCCCATCATTTTCAAAATGATTCCTTCAAAACAATTTTCATTTGCTCTCATAATATATTATTCTAATCACCCACTTTAATTTCAAGTTGATTTATTGACTATGTGAAGTGAGTGGGAAAAGCCCTTTAATTGATGTTTAACTAATTAAGTTTGTTATTTAGTTGGGTATTTAGTTGAGGTTATTTATAACTTTTTCTTAATAGCCGAAGTTCATGATAGGATTTAATTTATGCATGTGGATTCTTAAGGGGTATTAGAATCACAATCAAGTTGAATTGGATAGCTATTTAGAGTCGTAAAAGCCAAGATTTTTCGTCTAGCATATGTGTCATGTGTGATGTGTTTATTTACAGGTAAGAGAGTTTAGTAATTTTCGGGACGAGAGATCAAACTAATGACCCTTAAAGATGATAATGAGGACTTTGTTGACTAAGTTATACTCAAATTAGCTACTAGGTGACGAAATTGCTAATTTCAAAGGCTATATTAAACTTTAATTTCTAAAATCCTTTTCTTAGGCTACATACCAATTTTTTCAATTCATAAACCTACAAATCAAACATAGTAGACGTGACTTCTCAATTAATCTCATATTATACATAAACTAATCATATTTATCAAAACCATAAGTGAACATCTACCAAAGTACTCAGCAACATGTGGGTGTGGAAATTCGAACTTCCGACTTTTTGGTCGATAATATATACCTTAATTAGCGGAGCGTTATGCTCAGATTTGACAAATATTATAGAGTTAGAAACATAATTAACGACAAAAATCAATGATTCATCCTTCAAAAAACCTACTATATTAATGAAACCAACGACAACATACCACACCAAACTTCAACGTAAGGAGTAGATTTAATAATTTCTTAACTATACCTTTAACTATACCTACATCGTTATACTATAAGTATTTATTTATCATGTGACGAGGCCAAACAAAATTAGGAAGGACAAACCTCATTTTGAAAAGGGTCAAAGCTAAGAAGTGTGGTGGTGTGAAACAAAATAAAATTTTCTTCTTTTTATTATTATTATTTTTTTTAATAAAAACAACCGACAGTTTCTTTTACATCAATCTTAAATTAATCAAAGAGATGTAAAATTTCGAATAACGTTGTCCTTTCAGCATTTCAATACATGGTCGGTGGTTGGGGTTTCCAATATTTACAAAAGTGTTTCAAATAAAAGAAAGAAAACTCTCACTCAATTCATTCATTCCCTCTTCAAAACTTACAAAGCCCACCAATATTAATTATTATTATTTTTGGACTGGATTCTCAAAGTGAAACTCCAAAAAAAAAAAAAGGTCACCAATACATTTTCTTCTCTCACCAAGTGGGCATCACGTGCCATTGCAGCTTAGTTTTCTCAATAATTAGAGAGAGAGGTGGGGTCTGTATTTTTTTCTAACTTCCATGACTAATTCTTGATGGCTATTAAATGACAATTGAAATATATCAATTTTTCAATGATAACGAGGATAAGATTTAGTCTTCATTGATAAGGATCGAACAAAGTATTTTTTGGTGGGTTATTGTTTAACGGATCAGGTCTCTCTATTCTCTATACTCTCTGTCAAAAAGGCCACATTTTGTTGTTGTTGGATTGAGATTTGAGTTGAGAAAACAAAAGGAAAGGAAAGGTTAGGGAGTATTAATGCAAAGAAATGAGATTGTGTTTGGTGAATAGAATTCAGTTAAGAATGGGAGGTTATGGACAAAGCAACAGGCAGCCATGGCATGCCATGACAACACAAACTGAAATATCAAAAATCCCATCTCTCTCAACAAAATGGAATCCTAGGTACCCACTTTGGGCAGACAAGAA